ACAGGACAGGACAGGACAGGACAGGACAGGACAGGACAGGACAGGACAGGACAGGACCAGACAAGACAAGACAAGGCAGGACAGGACAGGAAAGGACGGGGCAGGACAGGACAAGGCATTAGAAAAGAGAAAATAAGAAAAGGCCAAGGCAAGGCAAGGCAAGACAAGACATTGGCCTGACCTGTCATGCCTTTCCTTTCCTTGCTTTGCCTTACCCTACGTTACCTGCGCCAGTGTCTTTTTTTGTCTTGCTTTGCCTTGATACTGATTGCAACGACTACATCGATTTTAGCTATCTAATTGAAAGAGGAAACTTCTCTCTGTCCACCTTTCCACCGTCTTACTCCGTTACCTTTTAAGTTACTTTAAGAAAGATCCCAAGGCATGGCCCATCAGACTACAAGCAGCTTCCTTTTCTCTTTTACACCCAAAATATGTCTCGTATCGTTTCAACAACTACACGAAATCTGGTACCAGTCTTTTGTAGTCCTTAATTATAACAATACACCAGCAAAAGCTGACCATCGGCTTAAAGTAAACTTTTATAGTGTACATCCAATCAAATCAAGGGATTTGCAAAATACTAAAATACCAATGGTAGATGAATCTTCTAATCCATGACTGTTTAATAACTGCTGTTGGGTGCGCTTAGAGGCAAAAGTATTCGTAAATTGATCATAACTGATGAATCAATCAAAATGCGAGAATAATTTGACTCCTTGTATGAAGATATATTTCAGAATCACCCGCCGTTTAATATCACGCTTTTTGAAATAACTGAGCTACTACGCGCGCGCTCATTGGTCGATAGTTATGTTTAGATGAAAGTAGGTAAACACGGTTTTGACGTTTTAGATTGCCGCGTATTTTTGAGAATTATTTTATAAAAGCAAAAGAACACTTTTTTCGTGATTACATAGCCTCATCTAAACACTCGGAAGGTTGGGAGAATTTTCGAAAGTTATGCAATCCCTCAAATACGTCTTGGGTTTACATAACTTCTCGAATTCTCCCAACCCTCCTCGTGTTTGAATGAGGCTATGTAAACACGGAAAAATTGCTCTATTGCTTAAGGCGAATACAATCACCGTAGTCAAGGACGGACAATTTATGCACGTTTTACCACGCAGTGTCTTTTCTTCTCTGAACAATTGGCCTTATAAAATCCGTAAGGATGAAAAAAAATATTATTTCATTAGCAGTATATATGGGATCAGACAAATGCCGGCAGCTTAAGGAGCGAGCAATCCCTTAAATGCAGGCTGCACTGTCGTAACTTGGAATATTAAATCTCATCCCATAACCAGTTGGAAAAGATTTGGATCTTCGAAGAATTAGAGCGAGATTGCTTTTGGAAACGTCTTCACCATTCTAAATGAAGTAGTACTGATGTGTCTGAGATCACAAGGCAGAATTCGAATCCGCGAGGTTCTCTTAGGCGTGCTTATTGGCTTGGGGGTAGCGGGTGTTTTGGTCATGTGGACGAACGAAAGTGTTTACATGAAGCACAAGCCTGTGATGAGATACAGCACTGGTAAGAGAAGTTTCTTAATGACACTTTATTAGATATTGGCAGAAACTCTATGTTGTTTATGTAAATTAAATTTAATTTTTAACTGCTTCACGCGGCATCAAGCTTTTTTACAGCTCATAAGCTGGGCGAGATTGAATTAATTTCGGTCAACTTCCACCCAAGTTGTTTTTTCCAGTCATTATATTTTCAATGCGTAACCCTTTCTTCAACGTCTGTTCTCTAGACGGGTTGAACTCTATCGCTGAAAGCCATTAATCAAACCACCTAACGCTGGCAGCGGTCTGTCGACATTTCCACTTAGTTACTGCAATGGCTTTTTGTTCATGTCAGTCAGAAGATATGAAGACATGGTTCTGTTATTATCCAAAGTTATACTTCTTTGTTTGCTGGTCAAACATTAATAAAAATTGACATACCTATATCTCTTTCCTTGGAGGAGACGATTTCCAAGAACATACTGCCGTTAACACTAGACCAGTTGGAAACCAAGTGAACGCAGATAAACCTGGCACACAAGAAAATAAACATGGTACATTAAATGATAAAGCTATGTTTAACGATGGCGCCATTTCATCAAGCAATTCGATGTTTTGTTCATTTTAATCTTTTTCGTTTCACTAATAGTCGCCTTATCTTGTTTCTGGCTATCTCTTTCACCTAATTTAGGTAGCAGCTGAAGTAGGAAGCGACAGTTTTTTAAAACTATTTGTTTATTTTGCTTCACTTAAACCTCTATTAAGTGAAACTTTCGTTAAGCCCTTTATTAAGCGGACAGTTAGACAGTGTTCTCACTTGGTATCCGAGCCCTGGGGCCTGGGCACCTGCTCAAAATAGCGTTGCGTTCAGACGCTGGTTACTCGAAAGACCCGAGTCGGGCACGGGCACTGTGGCCCGAGAATCGTACTCTTGGACCGTGCATGACACCAAGTGTAAACATAGCCTTAGTCCTGTTTGTCCCAAAATTGGCGTCTTTTGTTTACCTATTCAGCAGACACCTCTATGAAGAAGACTCGGGCACTAAAATGAATTATGCTGTCAACAGTATTTTACATTGCGGAAAATTAACAAATAACATTTTTAAGACTGAGGCTACGATATGACGATTTTCGATTTTTAAATCGAAAATCCCTATACTGTAAAAAGTACTTATAAACAATTTTTCATTGGCAGATGACTTTAACACACAGATCAACCCTTACAAAGCTTATGGTCACGTCAAAATCATCTTGTTTTTCATTGGTTATCCACGCAGTCGTCACTCTCTCCTTGGTTCTTTACTGGATGCTCACCCGCACATGGTTATAGCAGACGAAACAAATGCCTTCGGCAAGTGGAGCTCAAATCCAAACAAATGGATGAACCATTCAGTATACGCATATTATGACACTATTTTTAATGCTTCACAGCGTGCAATCAAACGAGGAAGAAGGTCAGGAGTATTTAAAGAAAGCGTTGTGAATACAACCTCTAAGTATCGTTATTATGTACCAAACCAATGGCAAAGCACGTTTGATCAATACATTGAGGTAAGCCGAATGTGAGACATGCATTATGCACTGAAATCAAAGGATTCAATAGGTATCTCGTGCATTCGCGCAACATATATCGCGATGGCAAACGGATATGAAGAATTACAACTGAGCTTTTTGTTGTCGTGCGTAAGTGTTCTAATTAATTAACTAATTTTCTCCAAATATTTCGGTACATAGATCTTACGATCAGTATTCTTCGTAAACGTTTTACTTATTATAGGAAATGTAGCTTCGGATTTTTCCTTGATTCTATCAACAGATCATTGGAGACAAGGCAGGCGGGTATACAGCGTTTGCGATGAAGAGAACGAATGCGGTAGAAGCCGTTCACCTTTTAGAGAAAACTGCGGGCGCTAAGGTGAAGTTTGTTCACGTTGTGAGAAATCCATTTGACAACATTGCGACCATGGTCCTGCGGAAAAGAGACATAAAGGAACGGTATGGAGAACATAAACTAAGGGTAAGATACAAAGAATAGTAATATATACTTTATGTTCGCCAAGGTAATGTCTTAGGCCAATAACAGAGGATAGTAATACTTGACAATGTTTTAGTTATTAAAACTAAACATAAACAAAGACTGTTAGGTTAAGTTCAGATCAGTTAGGTTAAGCTCAGATCAAAGCTGTTGATGTTATAGTTGGGGATATTTCTGATGATCTTAACAAAAACAAATAAAAAATAACTGCCCAGATGATCCACCAAGCCTAAACACACATTATTCAAATAAACTATAACTAATTTTATTCACCACTTGAATTCACAAGTTGCTCACAGAGCACTTTAATTTCATCACGAAATAAGCTGGAGCAGCACATGGCCCAGGCTGGATTCCGGCTCAATATGGTGCCTTATGTGGGTTGAGTCTGTTGTTGGCTCTCGCCTTGCTCTTAGGGTTTTCCTCCGGGTACTTCAGTCAAGTTCCTCCCTCCAGAAAAACTAATATTTTCAAAGTCCATGTTATTTTTCTGGAGGCAGAAAAAAGAGGACTCGCATGGAAAACAGCTAGGAGTGATGAGGCTTCCTCTCTAACTATTGTAATTTACTTTTCTTCACCAACAAAATCAAAACAATAACAAATGCTTGCAAAGCAAATTATAATTCGATTAATTATTTTTTCCTCTTTATTGGCCGAGATCCGAAGACGTGACCTCCAAATAACTGCCGATGTATAATGGTCCACTCATTCATGCGCGATATCGTTTAAATGTGCCTTGATGCAAATAGTATTCTGTTCATGCGTAATTGCACCCACGCTCTTGTGTGAAAAATGGCAGATCGATTCCCTGAGCTGCCAGAGAGTGATTTAAATATGAAAACAAACTTGGTGATCGAATGATAATACAATTATTGAACTCGATTATCGTAAAATATTGTTATTTGTCAGCGTCTTCCAGATCAATTATGAATTGCTCATCACTGACAAGTCACCATATTTGTTTATTATAGATGTTAATTCGGTCTCAAGACATTCAATAAGTGCACTCCTAATTTGCGTTCACAGGTTAACGCTCCTGAAGAACTCGATACAAAAATAAAGACTTACTTCAGTATGGCCGAGGGATGTAACTTGGCCAGGGAAACTTTTCCAGGCAGCGTCATTGATGTACCAAGCATAGAGATAGTCAAGAACCCGGTGGAAACCCTGAGAAGAATCTGTCAGTTCCTTGAAATCGCGTGCACAGAGCAATATCTTCTGGATTGTGCAGCCACTGTGGACCCGGTCCCCTCCATAACACGTGATTTCATAGAATGGACCGCTGAACAAAAACACAAGGTGTACGACATGATGGGAAAATACTCCTTTTTCGAAGGGTATTCTTTTGACAAATAAATAATTGCTATTGCCAGTTTTCATGTGACGTCATCATTTTCTTAAATAAAAATTACCAATCGTTCTGAAGTTTTAGTTTCATCAGATCTAAGAACTTGAATTTTTACAACGTTTAAGCTCGACAGGGTACTTCGTTTCGCAATAGAAAACGTTTGAATTTTGAAGTTAACGTGTTTGGTGACATCAAAATGGCGGCCCTAACCCGGCACTCTCATATGAAAAGATTGGGAATGCTCGTCAGAAAATTTGAATTAAACCCCTATAGGAGACCAATCTTAGCGTGTCTCGAGCTTTATTTGACCTCTAAAAGATATCACTTAAAACTCAATAAGTTCGGTTACCAAGCGCTGTTTAGGAAAAGAGCCCGCCCTAGAAGACCGGCGATAATGAAGCCTAAAATCGGAAATTAAGGGGGATTTTATTATTATTTCTTCGAGTGCACCCTAAAAGATACTTTGACAGCTAAAGATAGCCGTGTTTCGTCATGAACACCCTGTGAGGCCAAAATCCAAATCGAGACAACGAACATCCCCGACCTTTTCATATGGGAGTTTCCTCTCTGCCTCATCGCAAACGCTACAGTTCCGCCTCTCTTGTCTCGAATCACCTATTGATGGAATTAATGAAAAGTTCCGAAGTTATAATATTTCTTGTACTGACTGTCGAACGTTGACGAATAATAATCGTAAGAGCAACCGAAATATTTGGTACCTTGTTCGAAACCGCTGAACAGCGTTCATCACAAATCAAGTGTAATTTCAAATTTCAAATTTAGGTTTTATTTGCTTTTTCAGTTGTATTTTTTCTGTTTTTTTTAATGTCATTTTATTTTGTTTTTGTTTTTTTTTTAATCACAAAAATATTTTCATTTAAAATCAAAAGTAAATAAATCAAGAAATTAATTTAAATCAAAGAAAATGTCTCAAAAATTCTAAAAATGAAAGTAATTTCAAACGTAACCAAAATTTGCTGCGAAATAAATTTTTAAAAAAATTTTAAAAAAGTTTAAAAAATATAGTTTGAAAAAAAGGCATTTTAAACTAAATTAAGGACGGTGCCTACTAAATACAAAGGTTTATGCGCCAGCTTAGGACCATGTGGAAAAAGTAGATCTTTGCAAGGGCTATTGGAATCCACAAAGAAAAATGGGGATAGCCACGCATTTTTTTCGAGATAATTAGCATTGAATCGCAGCAAAATGCTGACATCAACATTTTCCTAAAAAAGAAGGAAAGGATATTTCTTCACAGATTTCCTTAGAATTGGCCTTTACATACAGAAAAGCAGACACATTTATAAAGATCTTAAAACTTCATGGTAAAAACTAATATAAAAACCTTCTTTGGTATGTTTTTAA